TGGGTAAGACACCATAGGTTTGAGGTCCTTGGTCGACGTCATCGGTTGAGAAAAGAGCTATGGCCTGTGTTGGTTTCGTGAACCATACTGGCCCAGCTTCTTGACTCGGTACCAGGTTATCTGGGAGTCCTCCCAGAAATGGAATGCCTAGTTCAAAATCATGAAAATCAGTGGAAATCAACCATCCTAGCATAGTGTTTTTTGGGATCATCACCTCATCCGTGCCTGTGTTACACACAGCAACAGATGTGGTCCTGGAGTCAAGGCTCACTTGGTTCGTGGCTTCCACGGACAGTCCCAAGTTGAAAAACGCAGGAGAAGGTTGAAAATATGCCTGTTTATGGCTAATAGCTTGTCCAGCTATGATGTGGATTCGCACCATTAGGTTAATCACCTGTGGTGGAACTGTGGTGGTTTGGTTGCTAGCAACCTGGCAGGCCTCTGGAATGGTCTGCCCAGCCTTAAGGTTTGCTGTGTCTAGCACAGGAGGATCCTTTGTGGCTGGTTTTAGGGACCACAGCACCTTGTTGATGGTGTCCACGTGGACACCCAACCTTACCAAAATGTCAGAGCCTATGTAGGTTGCATGTAGTAAGTTTTGGATCACGAGAAACGGGTGAACCAGTTCTCGTTGGTTCCAGTTCAGTTTTAGGTTAATGACTCCTTCAGCGGTCAATACCTGTGAACTATTGGGAACTAATGGAAAGCGGAAAGCTTTTTTAATTAGTTCTAGGCCCACGTGTTTGTGAACCAAGGTTTCATAGAAAGCTCGGTTAATTGCTGATTTATCTGTCCACAGAGACAGAACAGCATCGTTGGTGTGGGACCCTTGGATCTCTACACCTTTAACTACCAGTGGTAGGTAGTGTTTGGTGGACTCTGACTGTTCCAGCTCACAGAGGAGGCTGTCTTGTTGGGTCAGAGTTTGGACCACTGGGTGGGTCTCTTTGGTTTCACATGATTTCAGAGGAGTACTCACCGGGCTCGTGTCCTCGGCTGAGGAGTCCTTTGTGCCCTCCGCGGTACCTGCTGTTAGGCAGTCTGCGCTACACTCTGGAGGCATTTGTATTGGCAGTGGTTTGCTCACTTTTGCCCACATAGTTTGATCACCATAATCTATAATCGCGTCGAAGCGATTTATAAAATCCTGGCTAACCAAAAATGGGAATGAGTCAACACGAGACACGTGTACCGGGTGGTATAGTGTCATTCTGCCAACCTGCATGTGAACCATTGCTGTAGCTGTCAGGGTTGTCCTCTTCTCTGAGAGACCCTGCATTTCTATAGCACATTCTGTGAGAGGTATTATCCTGTTAACACCGGCAGCGGCTGTCCTCAGCTCCTCGAACAGTTTAGCTGACATAATTGTTATGTCTGCCCCACCGTCCAGGAGTGCTTCGTGTGTGAGGACTCCTTCGAGTGTTACTGACAGGTACGCCTTTTTGGCGACCCCCCTTCTGATAAAGTTACACAGAAACCTCTTAGGTTTTTTCTGACGTTTCTTCACACGTTCAGCCTTGTCTGTGTAATCTTGGTTTGTCTGAACCGTCAGCACAGCAGTAGCTGTTTCTGAGTGTTCAGCTTGCGATGACTCGTCATCGTTTGTGTGTGTGTTTACCCCCCCTTCTTCCGATGAGGGGTTGTTGGAGGCCACAACAACAATGTCTTGGTGTGTTTCACCGACATCTGTGATGTTGTCATTCGCGCCCTCAGATGTAATAGTGATTACATCACTGCATAGTGCTCCAGGTTGGTTTCCCGTGTCAGTGTGTTTCAAAATTTCTAACAACCTGCGTAGTTTCTCTGTCTCTTCCGAGCTCAGAGGTGTAGGGCCTTGTTTCTGGAACCTTTGTGATTTTTTCGCTTCGGTTTGTTTCGTCCGAGGTGGGGGACCGTTAGGTACGTCTTTTGGGGGTTCCTTTTCGAACTTCCCCTGATAATATGGGTCATGGTTCCCATATCTTTGCGTCCTACGCACACCCCATTTACGATAATCACGTTCATCCTCTGAAAGAGGAGCTTTTTCGTCCCAGCGTGCACCTTCATGACGCGGTTTGTTAGTTTGAAAAGACTGCTTTTTCTCGCCTTTTTTAGGAGGAGGCGGCGATACACGCCGTCCTTCCAGTTCTAGGGAGTGGGGTTTAACCTTTACACCAGGAAACACCTCTATGGGCGTCTTAGCATGAGAACATGCCTCAAACACATTCACAGCACACTGTTTAATCTCATTGATGGATTTTTCTCTGAAATTTGCCATCATTTGTACTGACGTTTTAAAGTCAGTGTGGATATTTTTGCTGAAAACAAATTTAAAACCTTCTTCTTCCTCCATTCCGGTTTCATTTTTGTAACCAAAATAAGCTTGGAAGATTCTTTTGTAATAAACCTTTGGATGTTCATGATTGCCTTGCGTGACCTTGTCAGCAGCTGGGAAACCAGCAGGTCCCGTGCAGGGGTCGTACTCCCTGATCAAAGCTTCACACAGAAGGTTGTAATCCCTTCTCGTGGCATCAGGTTGACGCTCGATGAAGGTGAACACCTCTCTGTCCGAAGTGAGCCTTATCAGACTGATTTTATCCTCAACCGTAGCATTAGGATAACAACTAAGTCTGAAATCAAGGTCGTTTAGATACGCTTTTGTGCCCGTTGAACCCATTGGACCAGGTACAAAGCGTTGAACATGTTTAGAGATTTTTTGCAAATCATCTATTAAAAGAGGAAGTTTCAATGGTCTCTCTTGCCTGCTTGGTAGTGGAAACCTGTTCAGGTCTGTCCCTACCACTTGAGGTAAGGGTGGAGGTGTGTGTGATGTAAGGAGATTTGGGTCTGAAGCCCAGTGTGTCCCCACATTCAGTCCATGCCTCTCACCGTATTTCCTTTCTGCATGGTAAAGTTGTGTTTTAAGCGTGTCTATCTCAGATTTGCATCCGCTCAGAGCATTTGATGCTTCTTGTAACTGTTGTTGTAGAGCATCGTTGTCTGAGCACAACTTTTGGTACATGATCTCCCTTTCCTTCAATTTCTCCTCATATGAGTGAGCTTGTAAAGTAAGGTGATTCTGTGAGAGCTCCCTCTCACGTTTTAACTCATGTGCACCGGTCTCTTCAGCAAGTTTAGACTGTGCCATGAATTTGAGATAAGCCTCTCTGTCTGCTGCATATGTTTGACAGCACGTCATTTTGTTCAACCTGTTGATCCAATTTGTCTTTGAGAAGCAGAGAAATTTTTGCTAACTGTTCCAGGCTCAGCTTTTCATTCTCTGCCACCGTAGCATTTTCTGCTAAACTTTCCAGTACCGTAGCTTTCTGAATTTCATCCATCTGTTCTAATGGTGTGCCAATTATCGGATTTGTTAAAATATTTAAAGCTCCCTGGATGATGTCATCTTGTTGACTGTCATCTTCTGACTGGGAGTCTGAAGGGTCAACGTTTTCCTTTGCCCCTGCCATTATCTTCTATTTAAAAATTAAATAGGAAGATGTGGTGTTTTAAGTGGTAAAATAAATCAGAAAAGTTTCCTTTTTCTGATATAATTACTCTTATTTAGTGTTCTAGCAATTAAACGTGTATTTTCCTTTTAGCAATTGAGTAAACTTATCAACTCTGTGATTATCTGGACTGTATCTTTAAAAAGTTCTTAATTTTTCATTATGCACCTCCTTCTGAGGATTTATCAGTGAATGAAAAATTTCTTAGTAAATGCCTTTCTGGGCATAAATACTTTAATCACTTTTTAAATGTAAGATAACAGTAATAACTCAACTTGAGGAACGTTTATTAACTCAAAAATGCTTATTTTAAAGAAATACGAGCGTTCAATTTCACCAAAATCCTAAAAACGAAGTGAAACTGTGATTTCAAGTTTCTAACAGGAGGTGGCAGTATAACCTTATTTTATTTTAACCCTGACACTGTTAGTGGCGACCAGTAAGAGTCGCGATGACTTCCTGTGGCTTTGGTAACATCCGGTCGTTAGCCGTTAGCATAAGAATTTAGCATTGGCTAGCGTGGTCCAAAAACACCATTTAATGACGGATTTAAAACTTAAACGTGGCAAAGTTTCAGCGATTAGGCTTTTAATAATCGGAACAGCGGATCAGAACCAACTTTAAAGCGTTTTTCAACTTTAAACAGCAGATTGAAATTCCCTATGAAGACGAGCTTCATTTCCGGGTCACGTGACTGAATCAACCAATGACAGAGCAGCAGCGGGTGTGGGTTTTACAACCTGACATCAGAGGAAGTGACGACAGACACGTCACTCGTCTCTCCAGCGAATCAGAGCGTTTCAAACAGCGGCTTTCGACCAATGACGCATCGTCATTTTAGCTATCTTTGTTAGCATTAGCCTGAAAAAGTCCGGTCAACTTTCGTCATTAAAACTGTCAAAATGCACTATTTTCTGTTAAAAATGTGGCGAATAAACTCTCAAAAGTGTACTGAGACGGCACTCAGGTCAAAATAGCAGTTTATCCATGCAAACGACTCGTTCGAACGAATCAGAACCGAGCCGGAACAGAACCGGGTCGAGCAGAACCCGTTCCTCTCTGCACCACAGATTAAACATAATCAAACGCTTTCCACAGCTTATTAGCTCACAGATAACAGATGTACCATTTCAGCTTTCAAATGAACCATTGACGTTATTTCAGCTCTAAAAACACCACAACTGTAAACTTTCTCTGAACACCACAGCTGCAAAACGCTGCGTTTCACACAGCAATCTGCACTTTTCATGCCAACAGTCAGTTCAATTGTTACACGAATAACAGTCCATTTTATGAACCCGTTACGGGCCACCAGATGTAATGAACATATATCTGTCGATATTATTCATAAATTAAACAGATTCTTTCATTTTTCTGGACTGAGTAATATCGTGCCTTGAATGATTAAATGTGACGTGAGACGTTAATTTTCTTTGACCCATCAAAATGAACGTGGTCATTTATTAACAGAATCAAAATTTAACATCAAACATTTACATTAATTTGGCAAAATTGATTACAATAACACATATCTTAATTAGCAAGCTTTACAATTAGACAACCATACGGCCATGGTTTC